GTGCCTGAGGGAACCCCTCCCCCTCCTCCCCCCCGCCCCTTGGATAATATTGGTTAACACTTGTAAATCCAGGGAAATGCAGCTTCCTTCCATTTTTTCCCCCCCCCCCCCCGCCTTTCTCTTCTTTTTCTCTGTGTGGAATATAAGCTCCATGAGAGAAATCTTGTCTATTTTGCTATCCATGGAGCTCCAGTGCCTGGAGCAGCACTCCATGCTCAGCAAGCATCTGTGAAATGTACAGAAAGCCAATAGCAAACCTTTCCTTGATTTAGCTTTAAGTTGATAGAGATTTAAAAGCATTGGGACTTGCTGTTTATTTTTCAAAAGTAACAGCATATTTTAGTTAACATTCATATAGTAATTTTTGTTGTTGCTGTTTGTTTTGTTTTGAGATGGGATCTTACTATGTAGTTCTGGCTGGCTGGTCTTACACTATGTAGGTCAATCTGACCGTGAACTCAAGAGGTCTGCATGCCTCTGCCTCTCAGGTGCTGGGATTAAAGGTGTGGGCCTAGTAAGCCTAGGTCATATAGTAAATTTTGGATGGAACAGTCTTTGCTTATAATTCAGTTCATAGCTTTGTATCCCTGAGTAGCTTTTAAATGGTCTAATTTTTTGGAGAAAACTATGAATCAGTAGCCTGTTCTTTCTGTAAGCAGAAAGTTAAACTGTGTGTGTAATCCTTCTTACCTTAAATTCTAATGCCAATCTTAATTTTAGGCACATAGATTCAATAATAATAATAATTTGGTAAAGAATTGTTTTATGTTTATGTGTGAGTGCCTGCATGTATATATATATGCACCACTTGTGTGCTGGTACCTGTGGAGGCCAGAAGAGGGCATCACATCCCCTTAAACTGGAGTTACAGGTAGTTGTGCTGCCTTATATGGAGCTGCGAACCAAATCTTGGTCCTGTGCAAGAACAAGGGCTCTTAACTGCTGAACCATTTCTCCAGGCCCAATAATTAAAAATATTTTTTATTTTTTTATGTGTATGAATCTTTTGCCTGCGTGTATGTAAGTGCACCCATGCATGCAGTACCTACTGGATGCCAGAAGAGGGCGATGGATCCTCTGGAACTAGAGTTATGGCTAGTTGTCAGCCTCCATGTGGATGCTGGAAACCAAACCTGGGTCCTCTGCAAGAGCAACAAGTGCTCTTAACTGCCGAGCTATCTTTAGTCCCAATAATAATTGTTTTCCAATTGTAATTTTGTTACCTGTCAGCACTGGGATATGCTAATTTGGAGGGAAAAAATCTCTAGGATCGGTCAAAGACTGTAATTTGATTTCTCTAACATGAGAAACACCATTTAAGAAGTTAACTTTTTTTTTTGTCCTTTTTTTTGAGACAGGGTCTCCCTGTAGCCCCAGCTGGCCTGGAACTATGTAGACCAGGAGGGCCTTGAACTCAGAGAGTCACCTGCCTCTGCTGGGTCAAAGGCATACACCACCACACCTGGCAGAAGTTAAAATTTTTAACTGGGATTTTATGTTGGCGTAAATAAAAATCATATCTCTTTCACAGACTTAAGACAACTGCTTTTTTTTTCTTCCTTTTACTGAAGCTAGTTTACTGTTTTGATATAAAAAAACTAGTTTGTTTAATCCAACTATTTGGGGTTTCAACATTTTTTAATTAAATAGTTTAGTGTGGGCGGGGAGCATGTGCACATATGACAGTGTACATGGAGGTCAGAGGCCCACTCATAGGAGTTATTTCCCTCTACCATATGAGCTTTGAAGAGTCCAACTACGGTCATCAAGTTTTGGGGCCAGTGCCTTTACCTGCTATGCTAACTCACCAGCCCCCAAAATTGTTTTAGACAGGATCTTGTTATGTGGCTAGTTATGAACTTG